AGCTGCCACTGAGGATGCTCGGAGGGAAAGGGGAAGTATTCCAGAAACACTAGCATCATTTGGTCTTCCTGTGGCTTGTTCTGGGTGCAAGAAGGTCCTAATTGGCTATGCCTTCGTTAGTGTTGCTTTTATACTAGATCAGTTTAGTAATTCTTTATTAGTTTACCTAAAAAGTGTTTGTCTGGATTGTGTGTTTGTATCATTTGGGTAGACTTTATTACCTTTCTTCCCTAAGTATAAAATGCATTGACTTTAATAGACCATTGAAAAACACAGTAGGTAAGGAATAACAAATCATCCCACATTCTCTACCCAGAGACAATTATTATAAATATTTCCCCGTGTTTCCTTTTATCTTCTTTGGAAAGCAGTGTTACCAGGTGAGATCTTCCTGGCAGAGAAAGTATAAGCACATAGCAGGTCAAAACTAGTGTGACTGGTCCAAACCAGTGTGCCTTTCTGAGTGTTTCACCTGCAGAGCGTGGCACTTTGCCTCCACTGAGTGTTCTGGGACCCTTTATACCTCTTATTGTCTTCCTTTAAGGGGAAACTTAAATGCAGCTTCATGAGAGGTTAAGGAGCATTCTGCTGTAGCCCCCACATGAGGGAAAGCCGCTCTGAGAGGGCTGCCAGAGTCACGTGCCCTCACATTCCAAATTCTCCAGGGAAAACTCGCGGGAACACGAGCCCAGTTAATTATTTATTCTGGGCATTGCAGGAAAACACTGGTGACAAGGACAGAGTAATGGCCGGCCAGGTGTGCAGCTGATGTGTACACTGAAATGCGGTGTACAGGGCCTGCTGGGAACGGTGCCTCTCCCTGTGTATTTATTTATTCTGTTCAGCATCCCTTCAACTTGCTCTGAGATTGATTGAGACGTTATCTTGGACTTGGAAGATGGGAGACACATTGGAATGACAGACACAAGATGGATGGAACAACAAACTCTGACAGGGTTCGGGGTTTGGTTTTCTGTTCAGTATTGAGAAAAAATGTTGCTGTCATTGTTTAGTAGAGGGAAAGAAAAAGTTGCACCTCATTATCACATTAAATGTTTTCTGAGCCTGACAAACATCTCTGGACTACATCTATTTTTTCAGAGAATATAATCAATCAACGTAGGGACGAAAAGTTCACCACTTGGGCCAAGTTACATTCCTGTTCACTTTGGGTATCTCATTTTAGCTTACAAAATTTGATAGTATCATAAGTGTGTATTGTCTTTTAGAAGGATTTATATGCATACGCTATAGCTGAGCATCATCTTTTTGGATTAATAACAATTGTCTACTAATCCAAAACCACAGTATGATAGAAAGCAAAAATATTATAATAGATTTCTAATAAATATATATCCATTGATATTAATAGTGCCCTATGTCTTAATCATGTGACTATGGGGGGCAATCCATTTAGTACTCTATTAAACTGCTTATGAGAGAGGTTAATATAAATTATGTTTACAGTGATTTTTTTAAACATATATTTTACTGATTTCAGAAAAGAAGGGGGAGAGAGATAGAAACATCAGTGATGAAAGAATCATTGATCGGCTGCCTCCTGCATGCCCTTTGCTGGGGATCGAGCCTGCAACCCAAGCATGTGCCCTTGATCAGAATCGAACCTGAGACCTTCTGTCTGCAGGCTGATGCTCTATCCACTGAGCCAAACCAGCTAGGGCTGTTTACAGTGATTAATGCCTCACAGGTACTTAAACTAAGAATACTCCCACGATAGGCAAGCTGTTTTATAGGTGAGACACGTAAGAAATGAATTGACTTGGGGCTGTCAACTTTACTCTGAGTTTTAAATAATTTCACTACATCTGTCTGCTTGACATCTTCCCACTTTCTTCTGGTAATAGAATTTTCCTTTTCTATAGAAAAACAATATTGTGGCTTTAGTGAGAACTATGTCATTGTATCTTCCACCCACACCCTTCCCCTGCGCACCGGGCCGGCGCTGGTGCCCTAGCCAGGACGGTGTGTGGCCGTGGTGGCCGTGGTGGCCGGACTTGTCTTTTGGAGCCATGGGAGCCAGCCTTTCTGCTCTGGCTGCTTGAGGAAGAGTCTGGGCCTGCCTGTGACGTCTCGCCTGCTTCATGGAAAGAGCCCGCGTACAGGCATACACGGTGCAGATTCAAGGCCTGGCATGAGAATCCAATCATTTCTAAAAGCCTGACAACCTGTTGTAAGAGGTACAGCCCCAGTTTAATTTGAGCTAGTCTGGGTTGTTTTCCGTTTGTCTGTGTGTTTCTTTGTTTTTGCTATTTGCAACCCAAGATGTTAGGTTTGCTGGAAGGCAAGAAATGTGAAGGATTATCTGATTGATTGGAAGGAAGATGGTGAGGCAGTGAACTTGAATAAAAAAGATAGATTTTTATGAAGAAAGAGATGTGGAGAAAAATTTTTTTTTTCCTTTTTTTTTTTTTTTTTTTTGAAAATGTAACAGACAGAAAATAAGTTGTGTGCTGACGGAGAAAGCATGGTATTCATTTCTGTGCAGTACGTTGCTCAGATGTTTGAAATTTTTAGTCTTCATGTATTAGAACATTGGAGGCAAGAAGTGTAGACCCATACAGGGTTGACGTAACCTGGAAAGGGCAGAGGTGGAGCCAGGGACCTGACTTGACCCAAGGAATCAATGTTGGGTCACGCCTCCACTTCCCTGTGTCCTTCGCTCCTTTTATAGAAGTAGTTGTTTCCAACTGAAATGTTAATCACGTTATTAAAAAATTATGTAAAGCACAGGGAAAAATGTAAACAGACCAAAGCAAACTATAGGTTCTAAAGTGTTTAAATTTCTCATCTGAAATACTGTGCTTGTGTTTTAAAGATGTGGTCTAAATATCCAAACCAAAGCAGTAAACCTAACTATTAGAAGGCATTACAGAAAATACTGAAAAACAGAATGCAGTAACATGGCGAGCTCTGGCCCCTCCGTGCCAGAGCGTTGCCCAGCCCTCGCTGGAATGAGTCCTCAGTCTGGGTTATGTGGTATTTCTGCCCAGAGGTTGCTTGTCCAGATAAGTGTAAGCATTCAGGGCACAGAAGCGGCTGCCAAGTGATGCACCTGCAGGCCGGTTGACACAGTCCAGTCCTCAGTTCCCATCTTTGGGTGGCTGATTTGCCAGAATGTAGAAAAAAATAATATATTTCTTCATCCAGATGAAATAACTCATTAGAATTCCTGAACTAAGAACTTGCATGTGTACACACACACACACACACACTGACTTGAGAATTACCAAAATAGCTATTAATGCAAGAGTTTGTGTTATATAAATAATATCTTACCAGCATTTAAATAATGTTATTTTTCTTTGCAGTCCTCATTAGTTCTGTGAAATTGAGTTAATGGTTATGAAGGAAAGATTATTTGAAATACCTATGGAATGTGTTTGAATATTGGGAAGGGAGGGAGTGTCAACACAGAACATTTTAATGACTTGTAACTTGAACTAATTCAATAATGAATGTACACTGAGTAGCCAGAGTATTATTATCTCTGAATGCATAATAATCTGGCCACTCAGTGTATATTCTTATAGGCAACGAATGTTTTAACACATAAATTATGTATTATTTTTAAATGAATGTAAGGCGATTTGCAAACATACATATTTTTGCTCTGATGATTTATTTAACAAATTACTTCTTGAGTAACTATTTGCATACCTGTCTTTAACAAGAATATGTAAATTCAGCCCAACTGGCATTGCTCAGTGGTTGAGCATCAGTCAATGAATGGGAGGTCATGACGCGATTCCTGTCAGGATACATGCCCAGATTGCGGGCTCGATCCTCAGTGGGGTGTGTGCAGAAAGCAGCCAATCAATGATTCTCTCTCATCGATATTTCTATCCTTTCCTCTCTCTGAAGTCAATGGATATATATTTTTAAAAAGAATATAAATTCACATACCTCAGGAAGCCTTCCATTTAGATCATTAGATAGAGTGAACATATTGAGAGGTTAGATGCATTTAAATGGTGGCCTTGTTGAAAGTATGGGAAGAAGCCTGTATGAGTTAGGGTTTGATGAGGGGTCAGGACCACGCTGAGTGGTGTGAGGGCTGTGGTCCTGGGAGGTGGGCGGGCTACGATGTTGTTGGACCTGTCCCTGGTGCTGGTCTGACGTAGCAGAGCCATCCATCGGGAAAGCAGAGGAAAGTGAGAGTGACTGCAGCCCACGAGGGTGAGAAAGCTCATGAGAGCAAATGGCACCGTGCGTCTCTCAAGTTTCTAAGCTTGCAACTTGGTGCTACAGGGACTGCAGAGAGCGGTGCACTGTGTGGAGCAGCACGGGCACTCAGCCCGGGACTGGGAGACACTGACGAGCAGGGGTTGTTGGAAGCCCGAGGTCTGGCCGGAGCTGGGGAGGCTGCAGCTCGGTGCTACAGGTGACACAGCAGACCCACGCACGTGTGTGTCTGCAGTAGTGCCTGACCTCACCCCAGTTTCCCTGCGTAAACACAGCTGCCGCTTGCTGCCCACCTCCCCGGTCTCCTGCAGCATCTCCTGTGGCTGCCCCTGAGCTGCAGGTAAACAGGAACGGGCATTCTGGGCAGCGTAGTCCGGCTTAGCTAACCTGCAACGTGGCCATCACGTTCACCTTGTAGGCTTGGCACTTGGATACATCCTGCAGTCATACTTAACTTCCAATAGAGCAGTAGCAAAGCCATGCTTTTGTCAAACACAATGAAAGTATTTCTCTCCCAACCTGAAACAGTGGCTTTGAAGAATGCACCTGTATGTGTAAGTGGTTTCACAGTGGGTAACAGAGGATCTGTGTGTATTCCTGACCATTAATGCAGATGATGTTTACATGCGTCTCCGGGAGCTCTTCCTCCAAATGGTACCAGCAGGGTTAATGTGTACCGTCAAAGTTAAGTGAAATTCACTGTGTATTTACTGTGGGGAATTTTATGGAACTAAAGCAGAAGAGAATTGTTTTGTTTTATAATTAATGTTTTTTATCTTTTTTCAACTTCTTTGCAGTTTTTTGAGGTGCCGTTTGATTCAAACATGAATAGGACAAAGAACAGACCTCTGGTTCGTGGGCAGATCAGGTAAAACCATGAATATAAGTCTCACATTGCAGAACATCCCTTTGCTTATTCATCCCAAATCGTTCCCCGGTCTTTACCTTGAGTCGTGAATTGAAAATAACACGCCCCAAAGGTTTGGATACATTGTGCTCTTAACTTGAACCAGAGCACTTGGAGTGGATCTGAGATTTACAGTCTGTTGTGGGGATAACTCATGCAGTAGACTTACTCATTCAGTTCCATTTCGAGACGTGAATTCTTTCACTTATAGTGGCTGTAAGTAAAAGCATTCCGTTAACACAAATGATTTCCAACACATCCATATGGGGTCACGGAAGAAAGTTATGTCTGAAGCCTTATTTTTTCACATAAACTGATAATGCTGTTTTATGCCTAGCCAATTACTGCCTCCATTACTCTCCTTTTCACCGAATTCAATTAAGTAAAACTAAAAGGCATATAAATATTTTAATATCACTAATGATTAATAATTAAATCTTTTACTTTCTGGAGGCCTTGAAACTGGCACTTAAAATATTTGTAATCCAATAGCGTATTCTCAGCTGAGAAGAATAAAAAGAGCTAGCTGCCTCATCCTGACCAAGACAGAGAGGCCTCTCTCCGGGGTCCAGGCTGTACCCTCATGGAGCTTCCCGTCCATTGGGAGCAAATAACCACACAGGGTGATAACACAATAAAGGAAACAAATGCAGGGATAGGCAGTGAGTCTGTAAAAATGTTCTTAATATTAACTGCTTTTAGCCATACCATTCTTACTGAATTTAAAATGTCATTTTATTGAAAAGAGCAAGAAAGCCAGATGAAAATTTGTAAGAACAGAAATATCATCTACTTCTATTTTATTTCCTTTTGGGAATATAAATAATGCTTCCTGCTGTGATTATAGTTAGAAAATCTCTCAGTATTTTTATTTGAGACAAGTTTTAGGTGGAAGAATGCAAATTCTGTAACTCATCTCAAATGCTGCTCTCACCACAGGTTAAGTCACGCCAGGTTCTTACTTCTTTGGAAATTCTTTTCATTCACTTTTCCTCAGTCATAGTATCCTCTTCTTTAGAACCAGTGGGATAACAGGATAGACCGGGATGTGGTCCTCAGGCATATAGCGTGACTCGATGAAAGCCAGCGGACTCCTAGGAGCTCACCTTACTTAGCCCCGTGCGGTCCTTCCCTGCCCGCCGGGGAGCAGCATGCACAGCACTCCCAGGGCAGCACACAGCCTGGGGATGGTCACAGACAGAGGCTACGGTACAACTGTTAGTCTCATAACTTCACCTTTTGTTTGCATGATAACCTTAATTGCTGTTTTATAGAGCAAGCTATAGGCGGACACAGACTCAAACTTACTTTTATATGTAGGATGTATTTTATTAACTATGTACAAGGAGGTGTTAAGAGTCTGGGGCAGAAGACTTTATATCTTGTCAGTTAGTGTGTATTATGAATCGGTGAATTACTATCACTGCACAGATGTATTATGAGTGGATAGCTGTAGGGGTACACTGGAAAGTCTTACAGACTATCTGCTAACATTTACTTCTCAGCTTTGGTGGTTCTCACATTCACAGTGGCTATTGCACATTTAAGCGCACAGGATAGCCAGTGTATTTTCAATATTTTTTATTTACTTATTTATTTATTTATTTATTTATTTATTTATTTATGTTGGCGTTTACTGCCCCATTTTACTTGGGCTGGTTGCCTGTTGAATCTATACAACAGATGTCATTTACAATCTGGCATGTAAAGTGTGTGTCCTGTTATTGTTGATGGGCAGTAATATAGTAGGTCTGGGAAAGGAATCTTTCCAAGTCTTTTGCCATTGAAAACTATTTCAGCCTTTGTACATAGCTTGGTTTCTATTCATTCTAAAGACATTTATAAACATTTATGAAGAAAATGTATTTCATTAACTTTTTCAAGTGATTGCAATTTACTTTGAAAATTTTTATTTAAGAAACGTGTGCTTGGACTAGCTGGTCTGAGATTTCCGGAGGACCCAGAGGGGCCCTTTGCACATGTGCACCCATCTGACACGCCCCTGCTCTGAGCTCTCGGTCCTCTTTTTCCAGAATGACATGGCACATGTTCAGTGGGCACACACTGAACGCCTTCCAGAGCTGACACAGGAGTCAGTGCTTTTGTTTTCTTGTTTAGTTTACTTTTATTCCAGAAAAGATTTGAGGGATAACACTACAATAGTTAAATAGAGAAGTAGGCAATAAGGGATATAAAAAATAGAATTTGGGATAAATGATAAGGTCACAATGGAAGTTTATCAGATGCACATCTATGTATATAAAAGCCTAATATGAAAATTGTCCCCTCAGGAGTTTGGGAGACTGAGAGTTTGATTATTCATAATCTTATGCGCTGACCACCAGGGGGCGGCTTGGAACGAAGGGAGGCCCAGGTGGAACAAAGGGAGCCAGCAGCTGGAAGGAGGGCCCTGGCCAGCAGCTGGAAGGCTGTGTGGCCCTGATCGCTGGCCAGGCCTAGGGACCCTACCTGTGCACGAATTTCAAACACCGGGCCTCTAGTAGTTAATAAGTCTGGCCTGTCCATTTCATTGTGCATTTCCTGGTAACATCATAGCTACAGACATCCTATTGCTGGTCCTAAGATAGATGATGTTCAATTTCCCCCAATTTGCAGGTAATAAAACTGAATCATGAATAACTGACAGAACAAAAATTTTACCTAGTCCATTTGACTGCTCACCCTGCTCATAACTGTCTCTAAAAGAGCATTGTCCCTGAGAACAAAACAACATTCAAGGGAGACCCAACCTCTGCCTCTTTTTAAAAATAAGAAGGGACACTTGGTGATGATATTAGAAGAATGTCCTCCTGAATTCCGTAGACCAAAGAAATAGCAGATTTCTAAGGCAACCTGGTGCAAGCCAGAGACAAAATATCAAAGAGCAAACAGCTCCTAGTGAGAAGCATTTAGACTCTGTGGTCCTGACACCGTGGGGGGATAGGGGGCTCTAGGCCAAGCATAACAGCCCAAGGATGTGAGTCTAGCAGCTGGTCCCAGATCAGACTGAGACAGTGGGAGGAAGAGGAGGGAGGGTGCAGTGTTACGTGTATATCAGGTGACAGCTGGAATCGAAAAGATAATGTAGGGGAGAGTGCTGAGCCACATGGTGAGATTGCAAAATATGCTCAATCTATTGGCCACACATTTGTATTTGCTGAGGAGAGTCCTGGTTTACACCTCTTGTCTCAGCAAAATTATTGTTTTTGATATATTTTTATTGATTTCAGAAAGGAAGGGAGAAAGAGAGAGAGAGAGAGAGAGAGAGAGAGAGAGAGAGAGAGAGAGAGAGAGAGAGAGACATCAATGATGAGAGAGAACCATTGATCTGTTGTCTCCTGCACACACTACAGCGGGGATCAAGTCCACAACCCGGGCATGTGCCCTGACTAGGAATCAAACAGTGACCTCCTGGTTCCTAGGTCAACGCTCATCCACTGAGTCACACTGGCTGGGCCCTCTCACTCTCAGCAGTGTCCAGTTTGGATGATAACTGTATGCCATATGATAGTGATGACTGTGATAATAGAATTTCCTTATTTTTAAGGCTATTTCATACAAATTCCAATTGCTTATTTTGCACTAAAGAGGAAGAAATACATAAAAGGAAAGTGTGATGTATGTAAATCAGTTTGTAGGTAGACAGTGCAATGCAGGTGTCTTTGAATTGCTTTTTAAAAGTGACACTCAATATCTTTATGTTTTCTTGTAAATTGGAAAAGAATAAGATCAACTGACTTGTTTGGATGTTTCTGGCAAAAATGTCACGGCTCTGAATGACTGTTTTGAGGAAAGTTGGGTTTAGAGCTCCCTTTTATTCTCTGGCCAAGAGCACGCCTGAAATTGCGTGTGTCACCTATTGGGAACTTATATTGAAGGTGAGGAAACCCACGGAAGAAATCGCATTCCTGTAATGTAATGAAGATGAGCTCACCTTCTTATCAGACAGGCAGATTTGGTTAATCCAATTTTAACTTGGTGCCTAGAGGAAGTTAATTTGCAGCTTTTTAAAATGTATGTACTAGAAAACTTCACAGTCTTCAGATATTCTTCATATGGAAATTTAGAATGTTAGGTGACTCTAAGCATGGGCAAGCCATTGAATTGATCTTTCCACACCACCACTTTCTCACATATATGGGTCAAAATTCCAACCATGTTCGCCTTACACATAACGTTTTAGGGATAACAGTAAGAGCAATAAAATCCTGTAAATACCAGTTCGTTGTTGAGGAATGGGTTTCAAACTCTAGAGAAATGTAGCTTTGTTTTCAGAACTGTTATCTGTTTTCAAAATTTGCTTTAAAATAAATATTTCCATGTTTGTCAGGCAAGTCAGATTAGTTTACAGGGAGAGGGGGAAGGAAGTTACATGTTTGCATTATTATGCCTGAGTGGGCCCAGCAGTGGCAGGTGGGCAGTTCCTGAGTCTTTCTTCATGCTGTCATCATCAGTGCTTGTGGAGGGTGCTGTCACTGAAGAGTGTTCTGGTTGCTCAGCTTCCTAAGAGGTAAAGGACACCGTCTCCATCCTCTTAGCATTACCGGAGGAGAAGGCAGTGCGCATGCATGAGGACATGAGTGCCTGCAAAGGTTCCTCCACTCAGCAGTGCGTGTTTTCAGTGCGCCTGCCAGCCGCCTGCGCTTGACAGTGTGGTGCGGTGGTGAATACCAGGAGAGGGGCGTGCTAAGTGATGGGCACAGGTGGAGAACTTAACCCAGACTGAGGAGTTGGGTGGCTGGGAGGGCGTGATGTCTTAGAACTTGAACCAAAGGATGAGGAAGAATGAGCTGCCCTGGCAGTGCCTTCCCAGACTTCTTTCTGTTCCTCCACTTCCTGCTCCTTTGCTGGTGGTCCTCAGCCTCCTCCTCATCTCACTCCATCCAGACACTGCATTCTATCTGCTGTGCCTCCGGCCCAGATCGCCCGGGCCCTTGGAAATCTCTTTAGGGATGCCCCTG